TTGTGTAAAATATTATATTAGCGCTCTTAATCGTAAATACGATTTTACATTATATTTTTAGCGCTTTTTATTAAAACAACATGTTTCGACGGGTAATACCGTCGTCTTCAGGTTTTTATCAATTTAAAATATTTTAAAAACTATTAGATATTTAATGCAATATATTATAATGATCCGTAGTTTCGTTTGTAGCTTTCCATTTTCATGGTAAGTTGCTTATTCTCTTCACCAGCCGTCAGGCACACGTTACTCTACACAACACCTCTTGATAAATATAACGTCTGACTACAATAAGCAACTTACCATGAAAATGGAAAGCTACAAACGAAACTACGGATCATTATAATATATTGCATTAAATATCTAATAGTGTTTAAAATATTTTAAATTGAATAATTTAATTAGTGTCTAAATACTAATGTCTGTAGTTGAATAAGGGGACAGATGGAAAAACACACAGTCCAAAAATAGGGTTTTAAAGAATAAATGTTGCACTTTTGGAAACCTAAAAGTGTTATTATTGCAGCAGACATATTAGTAATACTCACTTTGATGTATAAAGAGATTCTCTCCACAGAAATGAAACGGATTTCTATCTCAGACACAAGCCTTAGTGTATACTGAAAGACACCACTGATGTGAGCCGCATATGACAAGGCCAGCCCCGCAAGAGCTGGGGGCACCTGCCCATGAAGAAAAATAGTCAGGAAGGCTGTGATGCATATTGTAGTTACTGAGAACATATACCAATTGCACATTTCTTAATTTTAAAAAATATACAGGTTCATAAAAGATGTAATTAGTATTAACTGCCCATATGGTGTCACAGAAAATGTAACAGCTGGGAGTTTAATACATATATAAGTTTATTATTGGTCAGTGATACCCACTAGCAGAAACTTCTGTAAGCAGCACCGTCAAGACCATTTTGTTCCAAATCTTTGAAGGATGGGAGTTAAATTAAAAGAAATAGTTTTTCAACAAGATGGTGCATGACCATGTACCAAAAATTCCATATATGGTCATCTCTAATTGATGTCCTGAATGATTTAAATTAGATGGTTTTGACTACCATACTCCCCAGATTTGAATCCTTTTAATTATTTCTTATGGGGATACATGAAGGATGATGTCTTCAGAAATAATCCACATGTGGTTGAAGAATGAAAGAATTCACAGCTGTTGGAGTAAGCATCACTGATGAAACCTTGCTGCAGTTATGTAAAATTTCAGTCAACATCAGCAAATGCATATGTTTAAAGCAAATAAAATATCCCATGCTTTTGACAGTGTTGTGGTATTATAAGCAACCACATTTACATCACTTTTGTTTTCAGTTACTGTCAGCCATCTGCTAAAGCCTTCTGGTGCTGGTATGTTTGCAGAAAGATTAACTGTTTCATTGATAAGTATGTGTATGTAGTTCCAACTCTGAAGCAATTTTATGTGGTCATTAAGCGAAAATTAAATATTTTTCTACTGTTAAATAATAAACTGTTAGTATTTATAAAGCAAACAAGACTGATGAAAATATTAAAAAATACACTTTATTCTTTTAGACACCTTAAATTAGCTGACTGAACAAAATACATGTCTTTGCTTTCAGTCCTGCTACACGCAGGTGTGCAAGACACACAGCACAGATCTGACAGTGACACTGTAAGGACTGATCTCTTTACTTTACACGCTGGAAAGTAAACATATTTCTGTGACATTACCTGCTAAAGTGTCAATTCTTACAGCCAGCCATCGCATAGCTATGCTACACAAGTACAAACATGTTGTGTTTTCATCAAACATCTTTGTAAACCTGCACATACAAAACACACAAACTAAGACCCATGAATTCTCTGTCTTTCTAACAATCAACAAAATTAAAATACACAGCCCAATAGCATGCCTCTGCCTTATCAACTTGTCCTTAAACCTTTCTCATCACAATTCAAAAGAACAGTAAACAACCTCTGAAACCTGTCTTTATAAGGTGACACACATCTCTACCTAAAACTGCACACCATATTTGGCAGAAAGGCAGTGCTGCCATTTACGTTTGGCAAGAAAATTCTGTAAGCAAGTAATCATAAATGAACCTACAAATTTTGTATAAAAAAGTTTTATGTGTTAAAATTAAAACTATCATACCAAATTATGAAGTTTTATCTGATAACTATGACATAATCATACTAGTGATATTTATGTACATAAATACAGTGAAACCTCGATGCATCGTTTTTGGCGGGGGTGGGAAATAAAAACGATGAATGCGGGAAAACGATAGATGCGGGAAAGCATTAAAAATTTAAAAAAAAAACAATGTTTCTCTTTCAAAGTTACTTCTTTTTACCAAAAAAGTCTTTAATGGACAACTGGTTTGTTGAAACTTTACGTTTTAGACCAAACAGAGCACTTTCCACGTTCAAAATGTTTTCTTCGTCACGTTCACTAATATTAAGCGCATAAAAGAACGACTTCACTTTCACCAATGCAGCGTGTACTTCGGCAAAACTCGGCAAAGCTTCGGGCGCGCATTCGTCGTCTTCCTCTTCCTCACCACTCCAACCCCCTTCGCGAACAATAACAGGAAGAATGGAAATACTATTACTGCCGAACTCAACGAAACGTAGCTGTAGAAGACCCTGAACCGCTGGAAACGAGATGAATCAGAAGAATGAAAAGTGCCGCCAGCCTTTCCTTTGTACTTGTAATAAAAGCATTTGTGAAGAAATTCACACTGCACATGCCATCTGGCATCGCTGGAACGAAATATGAGTGCACCCAAATTAAAATCGTAAAATTTCTCGTCTTTCGGTATTAATTTATCTCTAAACCCAGCATTTTAAATTCTCAGGAACGATCATTGCGGGAAAATTGTGGGCCGGGACTACGATTTTTGAACGATCGATGCGATAAAACGATAGTTCGAGGAACGATAGAAGCGGGAAAATGTAACATTATTTTATATGGGATGTATTCGGGACCGAACAAAACGGACGATGCATCCGGGAAAACGATAGTTCCGGGAACGATGGATAGAGGTTTCACTGTAGATCACTAATTTGTACAATTATTTATGCTTATTTTTTAGCCTGTGTGTACAAACAGAAGGTAGCTTCCGAAGTACTTCTCACTACTCGTAGTCTTCTTTCAGGCAAACAATTTCTCATCTTCCTTACCTCATTAAGAAATCACTTTCTTTTCCAAAAGCATGAACTGTACTTAGTCCTTGAACCGTCGTCCCAACCCAGCTAAAGATAGGCGATCGAGACACATTCTCCAATCGTTTCAAGTCACGAATTGCCACTCTAGAAAAACAAAATATCATTCAGAGAGAACACTATAGAGTTGTGTATTATCAGCTCATTATTAACACCATGAAATACAGTCCCTTATGAGAGGCTGATAGTCATGGTCAAGAAATTCTCCGTCTTTCATGAAACATAATGAATTATGCTCACAAGAGTCTAACACTGGATCCCATTCCAAGTCATCTGATTCCAATCCATATCCTCATACCAAATGTAGGATACATTTTAATATTAGTCCCCAATCTATTCTTCGCTTTCCAAATGATTTGTGTCCTTCAGCATTTCATACCAATATACGCTATAAATTTCTCATCATTCCCATGCGTGCTTTATGTTTACTCATTACATTCTCCTTCACTTAATCCCCTAGAAATGAGATCAACTGTAGAGCACATCATACATTGTCTCTGTCCTCCCCTTCCTATATGTTAATTCCAAATATTTCCTTTAGCACCTGTTCCAAAACAGCCTCAATTTGCACTCTTCTCTAAGAATGACAGACCTTGTTTCACCAATGCAATAGGTAACATTGTAGCTTAGTACACCACATATTTAATCTTTAAAGCTTTTACATATGAACGAGAAAGATAAAATATTCTTAACTTAATAGCAGCAAGCTCACAGAAAATGTCTCCTTTTTAAAAAAATTTCAGCAACATCTTGTCTACACAAAAAGGTTCAGTGTAAAGAATACTACAGTTAGTGCTTACCTAAATATCTTACTGATGAAATAATAGATGACTGCAAGAATAACTAATGGGATGATGAACCAAGGAAATACCAAGCAAACAAAAAGAATGGCAAACAGAACAATCCACACGTTTTGTAAAAAAGACTCGATAGTGGTGGGTAACCGGACGTCGACTGTAAAGAATAAAACATATCTTGAGTGCTTATGGTAAAAATATTGCACTCAAACACAAAAATTAAATGCACAAGAACTTATTACCTTCATCCATATCTCGAGAAAAGAGATTCTGTATTCTTCCTGCAGGTGTAGTTTCAAAGAAGTGCAATGGACTATGCATTAGTTTCATAAATAACTGATTATGAAGATAACTGGATGCTCTAAGTGTTACCTACAAGAAAACAAATTTAAACAAAATGAGAGTTCACCACATCATCAAGGTGTATGTAGTACACAATCTCAGTGAAACTTGATAGCGATCTAACCGAGTTAAAGGTGTTGATTTCAATAACCTAGCAATACTATATGTGACCTACATAAATCATGAAGCTCCTAGATGGCTGTCTTCTGGATTGTAGTGCCATGTAGTCTGGCAGAAGTTTACCAGTCTCCATCATCACGCCCCTAATGAGAGGAAGCAAGGACTTCTGAAATGATGGTAAACTTCTACCAAACTACATGGCACTACAACCCAGAAGACAGCCATCTTCATACTCAATGCTGTGAAAACCTCAAATCCTACATGAAATTCCTTTTTTTACTCTCTCCAAATGAAGTAACAAGCAGCTCAGAATAACTTTAGGTTATGTTCTCTGAGCCCATGATGAACAGGGCTTCAATGTTACTCTGATGTGGGTAATAAAGTTATATTAATATTTCTCTGTACCTTTGTAAATGCCAACCCTCTCAGTAAGCTTGTTCCTAGGATGACAGCAATCATGACAGCATAAACCATCTGGTACATAGGGAAGTCTGGGTTGTCACTGATGTTATGACTAGGCTCAGTTTGGTTGTTAACAAATACTGTGGCATTCTGCAATGTGGAAGAAAAATTCTATGCATTATAATACAGAGTTCAAAGATAGCTTCAGATCATACATAATACAGTGTTACATCATCAATTCTGTATTATACCCACAAAAGTTTTTTATGAAAGTAATGGATGATCCTACATATATTTATAAGGAAGTAAAATTTTGGGGATGGACAGTTTGTAAAATTAAAACAGTATATATTAAATTTTAATAAGTGTCATAGAATGTACTACATTAGACAAAACTTAACTCAAGAGACATGGCAAGAATTAAAGATTCATTCAATATATATAAGGGGAGAATATAAAGAAAAATTATTAACACAGTTTAACAGAAAAGTTAACAACAAGTTTCCAAAACAAAATGACATACAGGCACAGAAAAAAATTTAAAAGTGGCTGAAGTCAGAAGAGGCTTCAGTATAATCCAGACAGAAGAGAAAATGAAGGAGACATCAGCCACTGGTCAAAAGCGAAACGTATGTGGTTACTTAATGCTCTCATACGTGCTCTTCAATCGTTAGCAGTACATTTAAATGCTTTTGTGTTATCTTCCACTGGAATATTTATTATTGTCTGCTTTAATTGTGTTATGTCCACTGCAGACTATTATAAAATAGTTGTACATGTTTATGAAGGGCGAGAAAATACAATTCAAATCTTTATGGTAACTAGTTTATAAAACCATTTTGAACAATCAGACATCAATTCAGAACAGAAATCCAATGTTTCACATACCTTCTCTGCCCCCCATCAACAGGAGATATCAAATATTCTACCTGACAATGTCAAGATAGTGTTCAAAATGCATTTTATACAATCAAGAAATAAGTGTTGATGACATTAAATTACTAACAATTAGAATACTTTTCACATCAAGGAATCATTACAATAATAAATACACAAGTGTTACATGTCACTTACACCTCCACCTGCTTTGATCCACAAGGCAAGCCACCATGAACTGAATGCAGTACTACCAACATTCAGCAGACAACTGAGGCACATGAGCAGTATAATGAAGTATCCACCTGCAGCAGAGATGTAGTTCTGGTATGTGTGGAATCGAATGTTCCCCTTCTGGACAAACTCAGGTGTTGTTAGCTGTTCACCTTCTGGAAAAAGAAAAAAGAAACTTTGTGCTCTTTATAACTGAAATTTTAACTTCACTACCTGAACAAGGGTATACAGTGAAACCTCGATGCATCGTTTTTGGCGGGGGTGGGAAATAAAAACGATGAATACGGGAAAACGATAGTTGCGGGAAAGCATTAAAAATTTTAAAAAAACTAAATGTTTCTCTTTCAAAGTTCAACTGGTTTGTCGAAACTTTACGTTTTAGGCCAAACAGAGCCCTTTTCACGTTCAAAATGTTTTCCTTGTCACGTTCACTAATATTATGCGCATAAAAAAACGACTTCACTTTTGCCAATGCAGCATGTGCTTCGGCAAAACTTGGCACAGCTTTGGGCTCACATTCGTCGTCTTCCTCTTCCTCACCACTCCCACCCCCTTCGCAAACAATAACAGGATGGATGTAAATACTATTACTGCCGAACTCAACGAAACGTTGCTGTAGAAGACACTGAACCACTGGAAACGAGATGAACCAGAAGAATGAAAAGTGTCGCCCGCCTTTTCTTTGTACTTATAATACGTAAAAGCATTTGTGAAGAAATTCACACTGCACATGCCATCTGGCATCGCTGGAACGAAATATGAGTGCACCCTAATTAAACTCATAAAATTTCTGACAATGCGCACCGCCATTCACTCCAACTATCACCCCTGCACGGCTGACCCCTCATTCCAAAAGAATGTACTGGTTGGGCGACATAACAGGTTACCGCTACTGTGTATTCCAAAAACATTGTGCGTCTTTCGGTATTAATTTATCTCAAAACCCAGGATTTTAAATTCTAAAAACATCGCGTAAATTTTGTTATAATTTCTCAGAAACGATCATTGCGGGAAAATTGTGGGCCAGGACTAAGATTTTTGAACGATCGATGCGATAAAACGATAGTTCGAGGAACGATAGAAACGGGAAAATGTAACATTATTTTATATGGGATGTATCCGGGACCGAACAAAACGGACGATGCATCCAGGAAAACGATAGTTCGGGGAACGATGGATAGAGGTTTCACTGTAATAACAAAGAATACAATACTTACCTTTGGAATCCAATTTCTCAGTATCTTCAACACTAACTTGAGAACTGGAACTTACAGGTCTGTTCTGAGAGTTTGGTGCCAAATAGTCTGAGTTCAAAACCTCAGCAGCACAAACTGGACTTTCTTCTCCAATCACACATCTGTTATAAAAATATGCAACGAACTGGAGTCAAATACTTTCAAGACAGAAATTTTGACATGCACTGGGTAATATGATGACAGAATGCCATTTCAATACTATTTTCTGGTTTTCAAAGTGACCTGTTCATGGTGACATTTCTTTGCAAGATTTAATTTGTGTATCCTTTTAACTCTAATTCATCAAACCTTCTTGTTTGGTAACCTCAACAATACTAGGTTGAGAGTCCAACCCACAAAACACATTATATAATATACTCAGATGACAGACTTATTTGGCCAGTAATAGGAAAATGACTCACTGTTCCTGTTCCCCTCTTTTGGAATAGTGGGTCTTAACCAACATAGCATAATCCTGTTCCTTAGCCATCAGCTCATCATGTGTTCCATGAGCAAAAATACAGCCATCTTTCATCATGTACACCATGTTGCACTGGTTCAGATACTGCAAAACAAAATAAAAATTGCATGTAATTCTGTTTCCAATATATCAAAATCCACATGGGTCCTCATGCACAGTAAGGCTTGTTGCAAATTGCTTGGCTGTTTTATACATAATTTAACCTTCATCACTTAAAAATGCTATGAACAAAACTGATGGGAAGGAAGAGGTCACAGCCTATTTCACAGTACATTATTTTCTAGTGGCAATAACATATAGCTTGCCATCTTAGTCTCTACTTCAGTAATGTTTTTAGTTTACATAGTACATGTGTGTGTTTTCCTCCTACCTGCAAGATAGTGACATATGTAAAACACACTTGTTTGCTCCCAGCCACTGTACCAGTACCTTTAAAATTATATTAAAATTCTTTTTTATTAGTGAGGAAAAAGGGGTTTTCATATACTTAAACAATAACTAATGTTCAAAGAGAAGACAGGAAAAATATATCACAAAGAATGGGAGGAAACTTAATTCTTCCTGAAAACTGGCATACAAAATGCATGAGAGCCAAAATGTTTTACATGGAATATTGTACCTGTTCCTGATGGGTAACAAGTATAACAGTCTTGTGTTTCAGAGCGTGAAGGATGCATGTGTTGAAAATGTGAGTACCAACATAAGCATCAACAGCACTGAGTGGATCATCAAGCAAATAGATGTCCCTGTAAATAAACAGAAAGCAACATTTTATAAGAACATGCAAGGAGCAGTCATATCTTTTTCATATGCTACAGGATACAATTTTGTCTCCCACTGTCCAGTCTTCTCAAATGTTCCAAAATCTCTAAACTATTTCTATTATTTATAGCCTTTTTATTATGAAAGAAGAGAAAACAGCTGACTATATGAAGTATCATAAAACAAAATACAGTGGATCCCAGTATTTACATTTCTTGGTTCTTTTAGAGATAAGGTTGATAGGATTGATTATATGATTAGTGTGATTAATCCTACAATGTCAGATTGTGAAGTATGGGTGAAAGGGGATTATGTCAATATTTCTGTTTATCCCTGTTCAGTTATTTGATCCTGTCCGGTATAGGAATAGTGTGAATGATGAAAAATTGTGTAAATTGCAGGAAATGCAAAAATCATAAACTCAGTATTTACCTTCGCAGTAACTATTAAAATGCTCAGTAAAAAATATAAGTAAATTACTAAGCAACATATGAACATTTTCACAAAACATAATTCCCAGAGATCAGCAAAATTACCTAACAAATTTTTAAATAGCAGTTAACATGAAAGCAATCACAAATTGGAAGCTAAAATTTTGCTTGCAACATGGTGACAAACTTATCAGAGTAACCAACTGCGGGAAAGAAAAGTTGACAAATCCCATGAACTGGTACAAAACCTGAGAAATTCAAGTCAAACTTCACTATACTGCTGGAACAGAAACCATTGAAACAGTAGAAATGTTAATGCGAGTGAAAAAAGATAATATAAATTATGGGAAAACAAACATTCTGAGAATACAAATACCCACTGACCTGTTCGCATACAGAGCTCTTGCCAGTGCCAGACGTTGTTTCTGACCCCCTGACAAGTTTATCCCTCTTTCACCTATCTCTGTTTGGTCACCACCAGGCAGCATGTTTATGTCCTGAGTCAGTGAACAGCTGTATATAGCTTCATAGTACCTGAAACAAAAACCAATGGACAATGAAGACCATCAGGCTCTGTGTGCGGAGAATACAGATACCTAGTAATTGATGACTTAATGAAAAGTATGTTTCAATATTTTTAGTAACCTTATGTAATGTCATCATACAGACCTCCAGCAAGTGCTACCAAGCAGGTTTCTGCTGTACCTCCTTAATGTATTGGATGTTCATTTACTTCAGAATCATATCTAAAGTACAGATATTGCAGAGCATTTGGAAAAACTTTCTTTGTTAAATACAGAGTGTTCCATGTAAAACACAACCCTAATTACAACAGTATTTGTAAGCTTTGGTAACATCAAAATAACTAGTTCAATGAATTTCTTTGTTTTCATTTCTTAGGAGTCACTAACAGAACAGCATATGACAGACATTTCCTTTGACAAACACTTCCTGAATCCCAAAATGTTACCAATCATAATGCTGTCTTAGTGGTACATCCTTATCAGGATACACAATACTAAATGCTTCATGAACAGCAGCAAATGATTTTAATGCAAAGCATTGTTCAACAATCAATACACATTTTGCTTGTAAACATACCAGTAGCTTTTTCGTAACTGGAACAAGCAGAAACCTATTATCCCGAGACCTTGGCTCAATTGTTATGGGGGAGGTTGGAAGAGTATATTACATGTGAGTGGACCTGCTTCTGATTTAATTTTTGTACTGTAGAACATTGTTGTTGTAGTTGTTGTTGGGTTGCATTTTAAATGGTATGTCCTGAATAAATCATATCTCATCTCAACTATTCATCCAATCATTCCACCCATTTAATCAATTTTCCACCAATCATCCATTCACTGATCCATCCACCAATTGTTAAAACTTGGTAAGCGAAACAAAATAATATGAACAGGACTGCTAAGACTACTCACAACCCACAGCTACTACACTTCACCTCTTTGAGTCAAAATTTTCCCCAAAAAGAATGTTATCCCTCAAAGTTGCATTAAGTATCCACGGCTCCTGACTGACGTATGCACAAGAGCCATCCCTCGTAACTTGACCTGACACAAGCCGCAGTTGCCCCAAGGCAGCTAGAAGCAATGCTGTCTTGCCAGATCCAACATGACCACAGACACCGATCAGGTGGCCCTACAAAATGTATAAATAATTACATATAACTGTGATGTTAACAACAGTCTGGTTGAAATAACTGAAACAAACACAATTGACACAAATTTCTATTTTGATTGTCTTCTGTTACTACATTTCTACCATAACAATTATTTTCTACTGATCAAAACCCATAGATAACTTTAACATTTGCAGATGGCTTTTGCCTTTACATACAACAAATTCAGGCCAGAAGACCATTGTTTCTAAACAATATATATCAGTGTTAATACAATCAACAAAGGCTAACAAATGAATAAGCAGGTATGGGCTTGAAAACAAATTACGAAGCCTACATTCCTTTAAACAATTCCATCTACACAGATATTAGCACAAATAAATAACTAATTATATAATACAGTGATCTGTTTTCACTAATGCAAATTCTCTTTATGTCACTGTTGCTAGATATAATATAAAAACTTTGTTTCATTCTGACGTATGTAATTTTTAATATACAAAGAAAGCGTCACACAAAATTTGTAGGTACACTTATTACCTGTCAAAACATAAAAATTAATATTCCTAACTCCTTAGTTACTGCCACCAAAAAGGTGACTCATTCTACAATGGGTTACACCCCTGTAAATTGATACATATAACAAAAATAGATAAAACAGTAAATGTATATGAACTACCATTTTGATATTAACTGGCACCAGAATACACTGATGCTAAATTTATAATCTGCATCACAAACCCTGAAAAACCCTGGAGAAGGTTCAACATAGGTAATAGGCTTTCAAATTTGGAGACAGATATCGATGCTCCTCGTAACACTGAAACAAAACTGTGGACATGCAAAAGCACATATACAAAGTCACCAGCCACCTTAACAAAAGTTGTAAATAATAAGAATAAAACACAATAGGATTTTAAATACAAAATGAAAACAAAGGTTCCCATGTCATAAGACTTACCTTAGCAACCTGAAAATTTATGTCACGCAAGGCGTTCACATTGGGACACTCCGTGTTTTCACACGGATTTAGTTTCTCCTTCTCCTGATCTGTTGCATGGTTCTGCTTTTGTAAGACACCAAGTGGACTGCATGCAGAAAAAATAAATAAATAAATTACTATCCCAAGGGAATATATTACTTCACAAACTTCATATTTCTGAATGATCATCACTAGTCTTCCACATCTTAAGCCCAGTGGCTTACATTTCAAAAATGGTGTATGGAACAAGAACAGTATGACTAGTTAAGAGGTTCACAGATGAATTCAGAAGTTAAATGTGACTCTTAGTGTTTAATTAGATGGTAAATTGTGAACAGTGGGTATGCAAAGATATGGAAGTAGGCAGATGGGGCTTTGGCAGTATTTATTTACCTGGATACACAGAAAATATAAAGCAAAATAGCTGGTAGCTTGATGGTTTTTGTTTTGGCTTTTATACAGTGAAGTTTCTGTATAGGGCAATCACAGTTTAGAAATGAAATAGAATAAGAACAAAACTTACATGAATATTTATTTTTATATATAGTGAGTGTAAAAACATACCTTAAATTGTTCTTTTCTGCATCAGTACTGGACTTGTGGAGGGTGACAGAGTCCCATGATAATGTGCCCCTGCTAATACAAACGGCCTGAGTTTTGTCGATAGGACGCGTGATATACGGACTAATGTCTTCCAGCAGTAAGATGCTCTACCAATAACAGAAGTTACATTACTTGACTGTATCTCACACAAATGATATAATTACTTTCAGCCTACTGTCAACTTGATATTCAAGTCTATGTCAACAAATAATTACTTGTATTAATTGTTATATAAATTCAATTAATTTTATTTTCAGACAATCAAGTTATTAATATAAATTCTGAATATAAAATCATATAAATAACAAAATAAAAAGTGTTAATAAAACTTAAGTTGTATAATTAAATTTCAAAGCACAACTCTAGAAAGACAATTTAAATGACAGCACCCCAAAAGCAAAGATTGCAATAAATATTATGGAAGCTGCCCTAAGCAAAATATAAAGCACTCATACCCAACACCAGAAGTGTTATTTCCAAGCAACGAAAACAGACCATACCAAGTTCAACAATTGAAAAGATTACAGCTCTTTTTCTGGTGGTATACAATGCTATGTAATGCCAGTAACCCTCTTATATAACACATAAATAAAATAAAATAACTGATTCTGAAAATCACAGAATGACAGAGATTTGAGTAAGCACAAAGCACCACTCCCTCAAAGAGTGCTGGGGCATGGATGCAAAGATGTATGCCCTGGATATCAGCACTATGTGGAGGCAGGTCTTCTATGACATCTCAATTCTCATGTAGACACTTCACAAGCCTGAACTTTAACCCTAGGTATTCTAGATATGTCGCACTCACTCTGGCATACCTAACACTCTGAAAGAGGTGGTAGTAACAGAGGCAAATTTACTGAACTCAAACCCAGGCCACCTGGGTCTTAGACAAAACAACAGATACAGATAAATGCATATAATAATATGTTAGCAATTTTTTTAATTTTTGTTCTATGAATAAAGATGCAATATAACATACCACTGTGTACCACCAGCTAAAGAGAACTGATTCTAGTCAAATTTCACCATAATGGAAATGAAAAAGCATCCATTTCCCAACCTTATAAAACAGCAAAATTAATTAGATTTTCACAACTTAATGTAGTAACTTTGTACGAATCACTAAAAACACACGGAACAGTTCACAGACCAACAATCTGTAACAAACAGTTTTTAAATAAAAATCAAGTTGCACTTTTAAGCAATAAAACAATATTTTTGAGGAGTATATTTTTTATCACACAACTTACAATTACTGTTTTAAGCTA